TAATCATTTTTTGTTTTTTTTGTTTTTTTTTTTTCACGCGTGTTTGTATAACTTGGCATGAAGTCACGTTATTTTCAAAGCAAACTACCAACTTTTGCTCCGCGGAAAGAATGGCACACTTAATGTAAGCTCCGTTCCTCAAATTCACCTGCAGTAATATTACAAAAAGGTTCAAGTTAAAAATATAATTTACTCGCTTGTTTCTCATTGATAAAAAATAAATAAGACACCGATCTTACATTGACGAGCAAATGGTAAAAGCGAGCCAATCTCCAAAGCAGAGCATCTCCGGTAACGACACGTATGATATAAAGTTGTGCGTCCTTATCTAAGTATACACCCATTTAAATGCTCTTGCGAAGCCATCGATCAAGTTTCTCCGTGATATGCGTGTACACGAGAGTAGATAACTCGCGGGAGCGGATTCCCATGCGCGATCGAGGTTTCAATGGAGGATAATATCGCTCTTTCGCGCGATCCGGTGCCAAATGGGATTTTCCCAAATTCCGAGCCAATAGTCGGGCATACCCCTCGCGAGAGCTTGAATTATTTCGCTGTGCGATCGAAGCGGTGAGATGGTATATTATAGTGCACAGGGGGAGAAAAAAAATCGGTGAAAGTGCGCATCATCGATACGTCGGATTTTTACACGAGAAAGAAACTCCTTCCTCGCCCTCTTTCTGCATATATATATAGGTATACCACCTCGTACAGCATCACCTGCTGTGACCACAGAAATTTACAACGTGATTTTCATTGTGCTCGACATAGACACGGTTTTAAACAGATTTTTACCGATTTTTTTATTCAAAGAAGTATAAAAATTCCCAAGCTTATCTCGAATTTCCTACAGTTCACTTATACAGTTTGTAAAATTACACGAACGACTACCTCAGTTTGTATCGCATGTACAGACAATATACAAACATAACAAAAAAAAAGTGTTGATTAAGTATTGATTGATAAAGCAACACAATCGAAAGTACAGCAGTTGGATATACTGCTCTGCGGATCAGTGAAAAAATGATAACTTGGCTATATACACTGTAACAATATCAGCGTACCTATACCTAAGTGCTCATTACCGCGGGGGAAGCAATAGAGTATATTAAGATCAAACCAAGTATAGGGCATGTGATATTTTTTAAATGGTTCTACTATGCTGTATTGTTACACACTATATATACTATATACTCGAAAACGATGCCAATGTATATTTTGAAATTCCACCACCACGCGACGCGCGCCGATAATAAGAATCAGCATCAACTGGCGCCTCTTTATCACAATTGACCGCCGCTGCTCTGCTCCCGATCTCCCTTTCTCTCTTTCTTCTCGATGGCTCACCTATTAATAATATCACAATAATACGATACGTGGGTACTTATTATCTCGTACACTGCGCTTATATGCACACTCTCACGACAGATATCCGTAATAGGCGCGATGATTGTATTTTTTTTTTCTCCTATATTGAAGAGTATATCACATGGAATGTTCTCCGTGCCATGTCACGATGATGGCGACTTTGAGTCGCGCGCGCCTCCGTATCTGTGCAATACATATACGCGATAGTGCAGTAATAAAATGTATAGGTGATGAAAAAGAGAAAAAAAGCAGAGAGGAACGAGTGCGATGATAATGAGTAGTACATGGCTTTACGATGACGCCACTGCCAATGATCGTTTGACGCGCCGTTGAAACTAATTTTTTTTACTTTCCATCACCGTGCGTGCAGTGCAATAATAACAGTACCTATACTATACCTATGCACATTGGTACATAATGTACAATTTTGAGATGGTGCGTGACAATGTTGTGTACTCGTGTGTCTAGAGAATTTTTAGCGACAGAAAAACCTAATATATATATATATAGATGTTTCTCCCGTTTTGTTTTTAACAAAGGACGCTTCGTCTCTTTTATGCTTACTTATATTTCCTTTATAAGTATTTTTATTGCTGCTCCCCTCGTCGTCACCGTCATTAAGTTTTAAGCGCTTGCCTGAATGTGTCATGTCACACATATGTACCTATAACACGTATATCGTAATGTATTGGGTGTATCTGCTAGACATAGTGTCACTAACGAGGTTTTTTTTTTTTTTTTTTTATCGCGCATGATTTATCGTATAACAATAACAATAGGCTATTAACATTTTTTCCATAATTATTATTATTATTATTATTATTATGTTCGGTCGTGGTATTATAATAAAATAGAGGCTGAAACGATAAACACGAGCATATACTTGAAAGCAGGGAAATCGGAATTTGAATATTCAATCTCCGTGACTCAGGTTTTTGTAATCACGTGATCCTGTTTGGAGTATATATTATAATCGAACACGTGGCGAAAAACAAAAGAAAACAACGCGCTCGCATCATCGTTTCGTCCTACTTGCTTGCAAATGTATATTGAAGGAAAATAAGGTCCTCCAACAAGAGTCTCTCGGTTTGGCTCGGCGTGTCCCCGAAATTGAAAAAAAAAAAAAAAACCTTTGCGCGCATTAATTTAACGCTCCAAACGCGGGCAAGCACTCTCTCTCCGTGACGATCGCCAAGTGGTTTTCCCACGCGCGCAAATCCCGGTAAGGAACCCCCGGCTGGTCCGTCTCGGCGTGGTATACGACGGAATGTCTCATGTAACTGTATACGTAAAGGATGAAAAAAAAAAAACCCCAGGAAACGAGGCTTACAGCAGCAGAGTACGGAAACACCGAGATGTACATAGGTACAGGAAAACGCGCTCTCGCGAAAATCTATCTTTCACCAATGCAAAAAAAAAAAAAAAAAAAAAAAGAAGAAGAAAGAGAGGGAGAAAGCAGTTAGCTATACATTACAACGTCCATCTCTTTCTCTCTCTCTGCCCACGCGCGGTGAATATAAACGTATGTAGGTATTACATTGTAATGCACGAGAGTAAGCGCGAATCATTTATGTGGGTACACACGTGTTTTTTTTTTTTTTTTTTTTTTTTTTTTTTTTTTTTTTTTTATATTTGAACTCGTTTTTCGAGAACCCGCGCGGATTTCGAAAGTTTTGCAATGCGGACCGCGTAGTTGGTTTTTTTTTTTTTTTTTTTTTTTTTTTTTTGAGAAATGGGGAGATTCATTCACTCGTCCGAGGGTGGGGGGAGTAGTCCCTCGCGCGATTGTCCTCAGCGAATATTATAATGTACGTGTGCGATTGACGTACATACATATTATTAAAACCAAAAGATGATTCTTACGAGAGCGAGCGAAAGTATACTGAAATAAAAAAGCTCGTACGATATCATCGCAGTGTCAATTATGCATCCGGTGCGCGAGCGATGCACATCGCACACACACACACACACACACACATATATATATATAAACTCGTTGGTATACGTGTGTAGCCACACAACATACTTACACCGAGTAAATAAGGGGGCGCTCCTTCTTCCGCGCGGTCACAGTTTTTTTGCTCGCTCATACACCACCCACACGCGAAAGCTTTGCCCGTCCGTCGAGTGCTACATGTATGTGGATACATATTAGGTATGTATACAAACACACACACTTACCTATTCGAGAGACCCGAGTATTATCATTTAATTACTCGTATCCTGTTCTCTTTCTCCTCCACTCCCCTTTCTCTCCGGCGCGGATATATATTATATATATACACTTGTTGTGTATAGTTTACTTCGTCGTTGTTGTCCTTTTACTCGATATCTTTCTCCTCTCGCTCCCTCGTGTGTATGTACATATTTATAAGTACATCGCCAACGCAACCCACCTCCCACGGCCACCGTTTTCTTCTCTTCCTCTTCCGTGAATTTTTTCTTCTTCTTCTTCTTCTTTTTCCTATACGTTTTTCTTGTAAGCCACGACTCCCATTCGCCGTGATCGAGGAAAAATTCTCGCTTCCGGTGGCGCAAGCCGCTCTGCATGCGGAGAGAACCCCCCCCCCTTTTCGAGATTTTCCGATATCGGCGGTATTATATTTACGTACATCGGCGAATCGTAAATTATAATATCGTATGAGGACCGATGCACGTGTACATACACACTAAAGCGCCATAGCGATGAGGAGAATAATATGTGTGCCGTTGCGTCACTCCACGTATATTATTATGGTACACGCTGGTTATTTTACGGAAAATATTTAATACTTACGATCAGAGGCAAGAACAACCGTGTGATAAACTTATTATTTTTACCTGTAGCTATAGTGATACGATACATCGTTTGGGAACAAAAGAAAACAAGTTCCCGATCTGAAACGAATCAAACCTGTAGCTTATCGAAATAACGTGTGCTTGAGACATGAAAAGAACGAGATTTTCGTAAATCACGCTACACGTTACATTTACCCAAGGTACGGATATTTCGATGCTGCTGCAGGGTATATAGGCGACATTAATAAAAGCGATGCGTGCAGTTCGGTGCAATGAGAGAAAAAGAAAAAAAAAAGAAGCTCTGCTCTCTTGAAATCTGTATATATATAATATACGCGCGCGCGTTGTGCAATTTATACGTTCGAGAGAGAGATAAGAGAGTAGGCTTAGAGAGAGAGAGAGAGGACGGGGATTTATGAATGATCCTCGGAATGATCGTACTACGCATATAGGTGTGCGTGAATGTTGTAAGCGCGTACGAAGAGAGAGAAAGAGGAAACGAAGCGTGTATTGTGTATTTATGTCAAAAAATCTGATCGGTATACTCCTTATCTTCTTCTCTCTTCCCCCCCCCCCCCGAGATAATTGTTGTCCGTACACAGAGAGACGAGTGCATCACGTACCCCAACCATCGATAGGCATCTTGTGTGACACTTTTTGTTTGCTCGCTCTGATGATGTATATTGTACAGTATACACGCTTTTTTTTTATCCTCGGTTGACCGACCACAAAATCCTCAAAACATCCGAGCGTATATTATATTGCATGTATTTTTATGCGTGCAGCAATATATAAAATCTCAAATGATGTATTTTCTGAATAAAAATATTGTTCTTTGTCTGCTTGATCATCAGTGTCGGCGCTAAAGTGTTACTGCGATGGCCACTGTCCGGACGAAAAGCAGAACGGGACGTGCGAGGTGCCCGCGGGTGGCTACTGCTTCAGCTCGGTCGAGGAGGTCTGGGACGTGGAGCTCGAGGAGTCCGGGCCCGAGTGGTCGTACGGCTGCCTCGCCCCCGACGAGCCGGGCATGATGCAGTGCAAGGGCTACATGGCTAAGAAACACCCTCGTAAAAAAATTGTCTGCTGCAATAGCGACCACTGCAACAGGGACCTCCTGCCTAGGTACAACGCCAACACGACCGTACCTCCGGATCAGAGGACCCTGCCATCCGGGGCGCCCCTCGTCATACTCGCGGCCACCCTCTCGGTCTGTCTGATCGTTTTTACCCTCGTGATAGTCCTCGTCCTCGTTTACCACCGCTACAGGCGCAAGGAGCGCGAGCCCTGCCTCGTCTCGTCGCAGGGCACCCTCAAGGATCTCATCGAGCAGAGCAGTGGTTCCGGTTCTGGGCTGCCGCTGCTCGTCCAGCGCACCATTGCCAAGCAACTCCAGTTGTCCCAGTGCGTTGGCAAAGGCCGATACGGCGAGGTCTGGTTGGCACGTTGGCGCGGCGAGAAGGTCGCGGTCAAGGTCTTCTTCACCCTCGAGGAGGCGTCCTGGTTCCGGGAGACCGAGATCTACCAGACGATGCTCATGCGCCATGAGAACATACTTGGTTTCATAGCCGCGGATATAAAGGGTACCGGCTCCTGGACTCAGATGCTCCTCATCACCGATTACCATGAGCGCGGCTCGTTGCACGATTACCTTCAAACGACGGTGCTCGACCATCCGAGTTTGTTGGCCATTTGTTTGTCCATCGCCTCGGGCATCGTTCACCTGCACACCGAGATATTTGGCACTCGGGGCAAACCGGCCATCGCCCACAGGGACATCAAAAGCAAGAACATTCTTGTTAAGAAGAACGGCGAGTGCGCCATCGCGGACTTTGGCCTGGCAGTGCGCTACCTCAGGTTGGTCTTTTCTTCTTCTCTTTTCCTCTGCGTTTGTTTATTCGTTTCTTTGTTATTATATGGTCAATTGCGAATAGTGAAGAGAAAAAATACTTTAATGGTTATTATTGAGAAAAAAAAAAAATAATAATGATTTTACCATGAATTACAGTGAAACTGGAGAAATCGACATAGCGCCGAATCCGCGGGTCGGAACCCGAAGGTACATGGCTCCGGAGGTGCTCGACGAGACGCTGAACGCTTCGTCGTTTGATGCCTTCAAGATGGCAGATATGTACTCGGTCGGGCTCGTTCTCTGGGAGGTTTGCAGAAGGTGCGCCTCGGGTGGTAAGGTGTCAACGGCCGAGCCCTACGTGGTGCCGTATCACGACGTCGTCCCGAGCGATCCCGACTTCGAGGAGATGAGACTTGCCGTTTGCGTCAAAAGGCTACGTCCGACCATCCCAACGAGATGGGAGACTGACCCCGTAAGTTACATTATTTTCTTATCTTTTTCCCGATTTGGTTTTTTCTTTCATAATCAACCATTTGTTCCTGTTTCTTCAGATCCTGGCATCTATGAGCAAACTCATGTCCGAGTGTTGGCACACGAATCCGGCCGTACGCTTGACAGCTCTGCGCGTCAAGAAGACAATGTCGAAGCTGCACATCGACAACGCCATCAAGATCGTGTAGTGTGTGTGTGCCATCGTCGTTTGACGGATCTATAATTGTTGAACTATTGACTCACAGTCCTTTTGCTTACCCCCAATTGTACATAAATCCCCTTGCTCCTCTGTACCCCACCCAGTGTAAATATTTAGGTAATTGCAGACTGCAGCCGAAGACTGACGAGAACTAAAAAATTTTTAATTCTTATTTACTGTGTTACGAATGGATCGAACGAATGATTGTTTGCGCGAGAATATATAATAAATACGTGTAGTCACGTAATGGCGCGCAACGTAGTGTTATTTTTTTTTTTTTTTCTTCAATTTCAACGGGCCAAAGACTTACGTCGACGTGAGTATTCTAACAAGCTCTTCGAATTATCCTGCATTAGGTTTTTCTTGTAAAAATCTATATTAAGCACTAGAGTAATGATTATAATAATGTTAGTTACTAATGATAATCAAAAGCTTTTAAGAGCTGCCAAGCTAAATAATTGTATATTCAATAATGATGTGCGCGTGCCGTCAGCTTTGACATGATTCAAATGGATTTTTTTTTTTTTTTTTTTTTTCTATAAAGATATTGTAAATTCATTTGCTACGGCATTAAAAAAAAATATAATGCTACTAATTGATTTCGTTGTACGAATAACAAATGCCATTGGAAAATGTTCACGAATCGCACGATATTTATCGTAGATGTAGCTTTTCATATACAGAGATTTTGCTGAACGAATTAAATAGTTACTATACACCGGCTTACATCTGTTTTTAATTGTGCCGTGGACAATGCCATGTTTTGAGACTGATCACGTTGTCATGCAAATAAAAATTTTCTAATGTTCATACAATAAGTCAAGTCAATGAGAGAAGTAATAAGAATATTATGTCCTACATTTCAAGACGCGTGCAAGTGTATTTTCTGTTGATGTGTGAAGGAGGATTTTTCATCCTTAATCGATATTATAACTAAACGGCTTTCGAGCGGCTCTGTGTATCGTAAACTACGCCGTATATTTACATATAGTAGATACATCATTAATTTAATCATTGTAATTTTGTACAGAAATAAGATACTGATTCTTTTTTTTCTTGGGATGTAAATCGAGTACTTGAGATTTAAAGCCAATTTTGTGTTGTGGATGTACAATAATAATAATAATAATAATAATAATAATACTTTTTAGACGAGCATTACAGTATCAAGTGACAATATATATACATCAAATAATTAACATTGACGCTTTCTATTCTTTTAAAAAGAAAAAAACTGGTTCGTATGAAATTTATCACTGTTACGGCAGTAAGTTGTAAAAATTTATATTATCATGTGTCGATGATAATCAAAAAATTCGTAACAGTCGAATTGTCCAGCAGTACAATGCATATGAATGTTTGTTTAAGGCTTTAACATGCTGCACCTAAGCCAATTATTTTTTAAACTAAAAACTATCTTAACTTTTTAGTGCAAAAATCAATTGTAATTATCATAAATCTGTATTGTAAACTACGGCTAAAAAACCGTTTGAAAGTATAGTTATAAAATTTATATTTTTAACGAATTCAAACAAATACAATCGTATCCAAATGGATTAAAATTGATTTATAATTTTGATAATTTTTCTTGATTACCTGTGTAATATTTATAATGTGATATTTTAATTAAATGAAAGATTTAAATCTTGACTCACCCTAAAAAAACTCTCCTTAAATTGTTAATCCGATTCGTATAATTGATGCTTGGCAGATCTTCATCTTCTGCTGTTTCAACATATTTTTGCAGATTCTCACTATCGTCAAGGTATAAATATTTTCGAAATACTTTATCGTGCACCTTCAATAAAAAAATGCGTTACATTAAATTTGCCACATAAGAATGACAAGGTTAGTAATTTATTTATAGCTTGAATATCTGCTGTATAGGTACTCTACAAGAATCTTGACTACCTCAACACTTTTTGCACGGTGTTTGAGCTGGTCACCAGATAAAATATGATTTACTTTGGCACAAAGCTCCATTAATCTTTTGACTGATCACTTATCATCTTTAATGATTGTCAAACGTAATTGATAATTTATATAGTATGTAACATCAATTATTTTATTCCAAACCACGTAAGTTCCTACTAGAGAAATTAACTTTGTAGCTGTGTCTGACGACATAATATTATACATTATACTACCGTCTTTTATCCTAAAAACATAAAAAATGATTCGAAAAGGTTTTTTATTGAATGGATCGTATTAAGGGTCGTTCGAGAGATTTTTCAGAAATGTATTCGTAAGTACAGTTTAACAGTTAATTAAATCAGGATAAGCTTGACGAAGTAAAAAGGTATAGCAATGCACTTGGTTATGGTTTTACTATCTGGCCCCACTAACAAAGTAGAAAAGAATGTGGGAAAGGTTGATCAACCCGTACTTAAGTAATCCAGACCATCCTCAGGTCAGAAGCCCGAATTTTGAATGGATTACGTGTGTAAAGTGGCTATGGTGCAAAAGGCCGGGTGCAAGTAAGGTGCTGCCCTCACCGAGTCCCCAAGCCCACGGCCCACGGCAATTCCTATGGATTTTATATTAGTATTCAAGTTTATTTTCTGTGCATAATAAGAACTTTATTACATTATACATGTGGGAAGAAAAATTTTAAAATCATTGAAGTGACAAATTAAGTCGTTTCAAATTGTCCGCCACTGACGTGGCTGTAAGGCTGCGGCCACATACTACTGTGTGTTCCAGTAGCGCTCTCCGACAACTTACTGACAACTTAAACATGACGCAAGATATCGTAAGACATAATTAAGTTGTCGGTAAGTTGTCGGAGAGCGTTACTGGAACACACCCCTACATACACTCCGATTCGCGTCCGCACGCGTTTCAGCGTTTGACGTCCTTGAAAATCCGTGCTTATATATAGTCTACCAACTTCAAATGAACTTACAAATAAATAAGTACATACTCCTTGTTCCGCAAACTCTGTCATCACGCCATCAGCACGGTATGTAAAATGTAAAGACGCAATGCCACATTATAAGGGTGAGATGCAGACTGCCCGACTCCAAACTCCATGATGTAATTTCACCCTTACGAAGAAAAAAATTTTTTTTATCAGCGCCATCTATTGATATTTTTCTTCTCAACTTTTTTCAAAAAGTCGGCCCCAAACCAAATTTTTTTGCCTACCATATACCGCGACGCAATGATTGCGTCTTTACATTTTACATACCGTACGGATGGCGTGATGGCAGAGTTTGCGAAATAAGAATTAAGTATATATATTTGTTTGTATTTGAAGTTGGAAAGAACTAGCCGCCACGGATTTTTACGGACGTCAAACGCGTGCGGACGGAGTCGGATATAATATGTGGTCGGACGCGTCTATGTGGCCGCGGCTTAAATGGCGGCTATCCACACCGCACTCAACTTGATCCACTGTACGAATGTCCTGAATGACATTTATAAGAAATCTTCAGACAAAATGTTTGCTGGGAGAAGTACATTTTCAAGTTCATTAGTTCCGTAGTGCAAACATAAAGCACAATAGTAACTGCATCACGACTATAAATAAAAATTTGTTGCAAGCACTTCGGATGATGAAGACTTTTGAATACCCTCGCTTATGCCCGCGAGCTCTGCAACAAAAGAGGGGGGGCAAAAGAGAGCGTGCACTCATGAAAGGGGGGAGCCGAACGTCGGTCGTCCTCGTTCGTCGTCGTTCGGCTCGGCTAGTCGGTTGCTGTTGCACACTGTGAAACCGTTGTCTGCCGTCTCAGCCGCGCGACGAAGTTCGGGGTCCCCTCTCTCTCCGTGGACGCCATCTTTTTTTCCTCGCGTGGCAGTAGCATCACCTAGACCCGAGTTTAGAGCCGAGAACGCGTCGGTGCCGTGGACTACTCGTCGAAGTTTACGTGCGTCTAGGTAAGTCATTCAATTCGTTGATTTAGTGGAAATTGTTACTTTCCGGATAAATAAATGTCGCGCTCAGCGTTTGCGGTGTATGTGGGTGTGCGAATGAACCCGGGGGTGGTATTCCGTAAATATTTCTTCACCGCGTAGTTACGGAATACCGCTCCTGACGATGCCTATATATGTATACGATGATGCGGCGTGCATCGCGAGAGAAAAGGCCAAAGCGTAGCGTGATGTGCGTGCTGCCTGGGCGGCTATCTCACCTTGAAAAGGAGTTGTGACTTGCGCTATTCCTGCAAGTATTGTAACTCGACACTCGGTTATTTTTTTTTGCAGGTACTCCACGAAATACAGTGTGTATTCGAGTTTCACTTATTTTCTCGCTATTTACTCTTTGTGCGTGTGTGGGTGCGTTTTCTCAATCGATTTTATTTTTTACGTAGATGTCACGGTTTCATGTTCCAAGAGCTTTGAGATCATCAGCGGGTTACGTAATAACTTGCTGGGGCCGAAGGTTTTTTTTTTTTTTTTTTTTTTTTATCATTTCGCGGTACCTTTTGCCTTACCCTTCCATACGTGTATACCTATAACTGTGTGCGACAGTCGAGTGCGCTCGTGTAGGGTTTCATGTTCTACGGCTCGAACCAACCAACCGCGAACGCTAGCCAGTTTCTCCTTGCTCCTGTACATTACATTATTTTTGTTATTCTTCGTTTTTTGTTTTGAAATGAATTATTGGGTCACCCTTGTTGCATTGAACAACGTCATGCCTTGTATAGCCTACTATGAATGCTGAGCTTTAAAAACGTAAGGTCGAATAGAACTCTACAAATGCGCATCGAATTATTCGTTATGCCACCATTGTGGTTATGAGTCTGCGAAGTAATAAACACTGAAGGTCTAACAAGCAGTCGTTATACTTGTGTCCTGGGTACTGGAACCTCATTAACTCTAAACATGATTACATTTCGTTTTTACCACCCAGTGGGGGCTCGGGAAGCCCCGGGCGTCCTTTCATCTCGATTCTTTTATCACGGAAACACAAGAGAAGCGGAGCCGAGGAGGAGAGAGAGAAGCCGGTCATTGAAGCGCCATCTTTTCTCGAAAGGCCGCTTTGCCCTTCCCGTCTCTGCCGCTCGCATCCAACTACTCGCGCGATCCCATTTGCCGTATCAATATACTAATTGCCTGCTCTAACTATTCGAACGAGATCCCTAGCTTCAAGATATATATATTATCGACATGAAATAAAGGGGTGGTACAACCTCGGCAGTGGGTTGAAGTTTTCGGAGTCGAGCTCGGACTCCGGTTCTCTGTTGTTCGTATCTTGCATTACCACGCGGTCACGCCAATCATCACGGTTTATTTACACGAATATATATTTCGTACTTTAACAAGAGATCGTCAATTAGTGTGTGTGTGTGTGTGTGTAAGTTTGCTTAAATGCGTGATGGGGCGAGCGTCTCAGCGAACGCAATAATTTCCGTAGGGGAGGCTTTGCAAAAGACAAGAAGGAGCAGTCGCATGTGCGCAGTGTGTTTCTTCGTTGGCGATCGATTTTTTCCTATAGTGCTGGTTTTGGTCTTATTGAGCCCTCCTTTGCCGCATCAACGTTGTTGTAACACATACACATATTATACAATGGCATGTATTTGTGTACAAATATGCTAATTGTATGTTACGATTTTTTTTGTGTTTGCAGTGTCAGAATATATCCATAAGCGTTGAAGATGCCGGGATTCAGTAGCGTCGGCACGTTCAAGATCTTCATCGGCAATCTCGCCGACAAGACCTCCAACACCGACATTAAGCCCCTGTTCGAGAAGTACGGCAAAGTTGTCGAGTGCGACGTTGTTAAGAACTATGGTTTTGTGGTGAGTATCGGTTTTTGCTACATTGCACTTTTTAAATTGTTTTCTGATTAAGTTTCGACTATTCAAAAGTAGGTGAATTGTGTTCCCAAACTCATCTGGACCGAAAATCTTACACATCGACTAAATAATTTTTACTTTTCAGCACATGGAAAATGAAGAGGCTGGTAGGAACGCCATCCAGAACCTGAATGGTTACATGGTGCACGGGCAGCCCATCAAGTGTGAGGCTGCCAAGAGTCGAAAAGGCCCCAACACTCCCACAACCAAGATCTTTGTGGGCAATCTAACTGACAACACCAAGGCGCCTCAGGTGCGCGAACTTTTCGCCAAGTTTGGTACCGTGGTTGAGTGCGATATTGTACGTAACTACGGTTTCGTCCATTTGGAAGCCACTGGAGACGTTAACGAGGCAATTAAGGAGCTCAATGGACAAATGGTCGATGGCCAACCAATGAAGGTCCAAATCTCGACAAGCCGCGTCAGGCAGAGGCCCGGAATGGGAGATCCTGAGCAGTGCTATAGGTGTGGTCGTGGTGGTCACTGGTCTAAGGAGTGCCCCAAGGGAGGTATGGGTGGAGGTCCTGAAAGAAACGGCTTCAGGGAGAGAATGTTTGGCCGTGACCCATACCCACCACCACCTCCACCACCCTTCCTTCGTGACCGTCTAATGGGTGGAGCGCGCTTTGGAGTAAGCATTAAAAGCACCCTACTCGATTAACCCTTTTGTACTCTCACGGTATATTTTTATTTTTGCACTCGTCATTTATTAAAGCCTTTGGCCGAGTAAACTTAATATCTGCTGCTGGTCAAACATTGAGTTGAAATTTTTTATTCATGCGGTGTAAGTGAGAAAAGTACGAAAGGGTTAATCGGTTGATATTTCTAATCTCCAAACTGAATAACCTAATTATTGTTGAAAAAGAGTTATCCTCCGTTCCAGGATTACGATAACTATTACGATCGCCGTGGATTCGATGACACTAGAGATTTGTATGAGAGGAGATTCACAGGAATGACAGGAATGTCTGGTAATGCACCAAAGTTTTCTGGTACAAATAATTATTTTTAGCCGATAAATTTTCAAATAATTGTCCATTGTGAGTATTTCATTGTTTTGTTTGTTTTCATGATTTAAAAAAAAAAAAAAAAAAAAAAAAAAAAAAATAATAATGATTTTACCATGAATTACAGTGAAACTGGAGAAATCGACATAGCGCCGAATCCGCGGGTCGGAACCCGAAGGTACATGGCTCCGGAGGTGCTCGACGAGACGCTGAACGCTTCGTCGTTTGATGCCTTCAAGATGGCAGATATGTACTCGGTCGGGCTCGTTCTCTGGGAGGTTTGCAGAAGGTGCGCCTCGGGTGGTAAGGTGTCAACGGCCGAGCCCTACGTGGTGCCGTATCACGACGTCGTCCCGAGCGATCCCGACTTCGAGGAGATGAGACTTGCCGTTTGCGTCAAAAGGCTACGTCCGACCATCCCAACGAGATGGGAGACTGACCCCGTAAGTTACATTATTTTCTTATCTTTTTCCCGATTTGGTTTTTTCTTTCATAATCAACCATTTGTTCCTGTTTCTTCAGATCCTGGCATCTATGAGCAAACTCATGTCCGAGTGTTGGCACACGAATCCGGCCGTACGCTTGACAGCTCTGCGCGTCAAGAAGACAATGTCGAAGCTGCACATCGACAACGCCATCAAGATCGTGTAGTGTGTGTGTGCCATCGTCGTTTGACGGATCTATAATTGTTGAACTATTGACTCACAGTCCTTTTGCTTACCCCCAATTGTACATAAATCCCCTTGCTCCTCTGTACCCCACCCAGTGTAAATATTTAGGTAATTGCAGACTGCAGCCGAAGACTGACGAGAACTAAAAAATTTTTAATTCTTATTTACTGTGTTACGAATGGATCGAACGAATGATTGTTTGCGCGAGAATATATAATAAATACGTGTAGTCACGTAATGGCGCGCAACGTAGTGTTATTTTTTTTTTTTTTTCTTCAATTTCAACGGGCCAAAGACTTACGTCGACGTGAGTATTCTAACAAGCTCTTCGAATTATCCTGCATTAGGTTTTTCTTGTAAAAATCTATATTAAGCACTAGAGTAATGATTATAATAATGTTAGTTACTAATGATAATCAAAAGCTTTTAAGAGCTGCCAAGCTAAATAATTGTATATTCAATAATGATGTGCGCGTGCCGTCAGCTTTGACATGATTCAAATGGATTTTTTTTTTTTTTTTTTTTTTTCGAGTTACCCACACGTGTCCGAGGCCTCGGGGACTGNAAAAAAAAAAAAAAAAAAAAAAAAAAAAAAAAAAAAAAAAAAAAAAAAAATACACAGCTGGCATGGGCTCTATGCGTGACACCGGGTTCTCTCGTGGCCAAGATTATAACATGTTTAGCCGGCGGTCACCTCCACCGGCCGGTACCAATGGTCGATTCAGGTGAGTTCACCAAGTTTAATCCTCAACATCTCTTTTCCGTCTGTCCCTCGAAAGCTACCACCCGCTCCTCCCTTTGCTGTCGATTATTTTACCTCCAGTTATCCAAAATATCGTTTTGATATTTCGTACATTTACATCCGGCTTAACATTGTGAAATGCGTTTTAGGCTGGATTAACAGTTCATGCGATTTTTTTTGTGGGGCTGGATTTTTATTTAACTCAATATGCCTAAAACCAAAGCATTTATCTTCTCTGTCTGTTCAATGACTCATTTCCATGACTGACTTTCATTCTGCACTCCTAATCTGTATTATTGTATCTCATCTAAATAGTAAAAAAATTCATTAATGCTATTATTATTTTAATCCTCTTAGATAATCCTTATGTGCCAAAGTATATGGCAATGGAATTTCTCGGTACGGTGTGGTTTTCTATATTACAGGAGGAAAAAAAAAAAATTAGACTTTAGTGTTTCTTTGTAGTACTTGCCTACTCTATAAACACATCTTGCAACATAGAGGAATAAGAAAAATGAATTATTTTCGGCTGGAATGTCCTTGTATACACCAAAATCTTTTAGACAAAGCATAAACTATTGTAAAGGCATGCTAAATGACAATACCTGGACATCCTTGTACGTTCTAAATTTCAGTGCACTCCCGGTTCCATACCGAGCATATCCGTGAACACGAGCAACCTTAAGATACAGTACTGCGACGGCATTCAAGTTATAAAAGAGTAAGTCCCTGTAATTTTTGTTGCATATGATTTAGCTCCTTATTCTTTTATCGCGTTATCGTTCGGATTCGTCTGTCTTTTCTACCTGGAAAAAAAGTTTTCTACTTTATTAGGGACGCGATAAGTAGGCTCTCTTGTTCCACGGCATTAAGTTATTGAATCAAAATAAAAGTGCAAAAAAATAGTGTTGCAAATGTGCTAAGTAATTTTATTGGCTGGAAATCTTCGAAATTCGACATTACAAAAATGTTTGCTTCAGTAAACTATTATATAGATTCTTATACAAATATTGTAAAAACAAATTAATTGATGATACATCTATCTTTTAATGCTCATGATACACGTTTTGCTATTTTTCTCGAAAGTTTTTTCGTTTAAATACATAGAATTGTTGTTACAGTTGTTTTTTCATGAATGATCATTTTCAAAGTGATGATTCTATAGCAGAAATTTTTTAATCGCATGGATTTTAAATCCAGCCAAAAATTTTCTGCCTTTTGCAACGAGTACACATTATTAAAATTTCTAACGTTTTTGCACAATAAAACGATAAGAAAAACTTCACAAAGTTAAGTCTTGGACAAGAGAGTTAAGTAAACTCTTGTGGAAAAACGTTTGGTTATACATAGAATCGATAATTTTTACAATATGATGTTATAGTAAAGGCATGTACGAGGACTTCAGTCGAGATTCATTTGAAGAGAGTAGGTAAGTAGCAAAAAATAAATTACCACACCAGTCCGATGATAATTCTATTGTTTTTAATTCCGAAAAAACTTGCGATTTCCTGATATCGTTGTCCTTTCTTTTACCTCGCTTGCAATATCACTTCATCAGCTTCAAATCATGCACATATTCAAATTATTTATCACTCTCTTTTCATGATGCACATTAAAAAAAAAAAAAAAAAAAGGTTATGAAGGGTTGAAACTTTATAATGCACGTATGGTTTAAGATTAAGTGAGGTAAATGAGAGGTAACATGCCTTCCTTGCTCGTTTTTCTAGTCATTCAAATTCCCTATTTAGCATTAATTAACTTATGAATTTAGGTTTTTATACAGATATTGATCACAAAATTAATTCGATTGTACAGAAAATTAATCCACTCTACATCTTATTACACCCGTAAAATTACATTTTATCAAACGTTTGATATTTTGTGACAAAGTGACGCTTCAACTCATTTTATTCAATTAGTTCGTTTTCATCATCTGAAATCTGTTATTCATCAACTTCTTGAAGACACGACAAGCTTGTCACTTTCTCTCAAAACAGCAAACGCAACTGTACATGCAATCAAATTACTTCAATGTCTAATAGTTGAAAAAAAAAAAAAAAAAAAGAAAAAATATAAGAGAAACTATCAAATAAAAAAATGAACGACCGTTTATTTCGATCTCGTGTGACTGACGTGGAAAAACCTTGATTCTGCTTGCCAGACCGGGATTACGAGGGCCATCGCCGTCGCGCCGGTACCAACCTTACTAAAGCCGCCGCCGCCGCCCGCAATCAATCTCTACGTCGTCTCTCAACTCCGATTGTCGTCTGCGTCGTCGCGCAAGCTTTGCCGCCGCCGCTGCTGTCGCCGCCCCGCCTCCGTCCGGGAATTAACTCTCGGCTCGGGTCTGTGTCGGTCTGTGTGATGCCGTGGCCGCCGCAATCATTATTATTATTATTATTATTACTACAACTATCATCATTATTAGCATACATAAAAATAATAAGTAAACAAACAAACAAAATTTATTATCACCACAGAATAGCTTCTATTATTAATATTAATAATAATGATGATGATGATGATGATGATGATAATTATTATCCAAATATAAAACTTCTTTTAAGAAAAAATATGGAAATTACTTTTTTTCATCACTAATTTTGTAAATATATAACAAAGCACATGAGTAAGGAAAGTAATAATATTACTTTAATATCATACGCCGCTGACTCTTAAGAGCAGGAAGCCTCGGGACCGAGAAAATGTGTATGCCTCTTGGCGTCGACGCTTACGCCGACCAGATTGTATAACTCGTGGTCTTCGTCGTCGTTCTGTTGTCTCTGTTGTTTGTCTCAATATTAATAATGAAAATTAAACACCACGAACACCTTTTGAATTTACCACGATACATTCTAATGATTACTGTCCGATTCAACGCGAAAGCCTGTTGGCTTACGAATAGTCATTATATATACATACACTTGTCTAGGTATATAATTATGATCAATCTTTGTGTAATCATTGTAGTATTAACGTAATGAAAGGATTGGTTGAAGATGAACGATTTAAGAATGGTATAATACAGATAAGAGATGGCAGAGAGGTTGTGGCTTTACATTAAATATCTGTTCTTGATACTTTTGCATCTCCTACTTGGTGTGTATGAATGCGTAGTAGCAAGTTGTCTTGTTCATTATGTTTATTCAACTAAATATGAATGAGAATAATGAACAAAACAACATGCTTCTGGGCATAAACTTTGCACTAAAAAATTATGACTGTCTATGAATTATCGTTTAGTTACTTTTGTTTTTTTTTTTTGTTTTTTTTTTTTTTTTTTTAATGAGAATCTTACCGTCAAAAAACAGACATTACTTATATTCTGCGTTTTAATAGGCAACGATGTTTATATAAAACATACGGATTACATAGATGTATGATAAACATTGTAATAGTTTAGGTGTGTACTTGTAATGACAAAATTGAAAATCAAATTAACAACAGAATTCTTCGAGATTATTAAATAGATCGAAATAATTTTGCTGTTTACGACGTTGTGAACATTAAGTGGGTCGGTAAATGTTTTATCACGAAAACTCAAATTCTATCACATCCTGACATGAATGAACTGATTGCTCATGACGTCGTGACCTTTGAAATCAATGCTCATTAGTATCTCAAAATTAGTTAGAGGTCTGTTGCTAATTTTATTGTCAATAATTTTTAGTATCCTATTGTTCTATTCGACTATATGTTTTTCGCCCGAGGAGTAAAAAATAAATTTAGAATTTCATAATAGCGTTTTTTTGGGGTCCGAGAATATATGTTCGTGAATAAGAGTATATAGAAAAATTTGACAAATGAATTCATAGTTGGTAAATGATCATGGAATTAAGTATGTGATAAAGTTAATTAATTAATAATAAAAGAACAAAAAGCTAACAAAGATTTCACGATTCTTTTTTTTCAAGTCGTTAATTATTTTAATGCTATTTAACTTGTGTCACGTGTATAATCATAAAATCTGTAGAATTATAATAAGAATTAATTTCGTTATTTCATGAAATAATAATTAGTTTTCTCTATCATACACTCAATTCCATTATCTTTCACAATCTAACTATGAATTCATTTATCAAAATTTTTTGTATGCTCTTACTTATGGACATATATATGGACATATACTCTTGGACAGCCAAAATACGCTCTTTAAAATATTCTAAATTGATTTTTTTACTTCTTGGGCGAAAAAATTTGATTTTTTATTTTATGCTGTTTAACTTGCGTCGCGCGTATAATCGTTTTTTATATAAATACATTTACAACAATTATATATGACGATTAATATCTCTCTCCCCAAATGATAGAACAAATTATGAAATGAACTAATAAAAAATTTGTGTACACAATATGTATGTAATACTTGTGAACTCCACAGTAACAAACCGAAACCTAATTGTTTTTTTTTTTTTTTCTTTTATCACACTCACGCTCCTCACGTCCACTGGATAAGCAATAATATCAAAGTCACTCGGTCCTAATCCTCATCCAAAAACCATTCTTAAATCCTCTCATCTTATGCACCTGTTCCTTCTCCAACGGAGGAAAAGTCCGCACTAAATAACTGTGTACGAAGAGTCTGATGTAATATCATGAATAAAGACATAAATAGAAGAGAGGAACCACATTTTGGTCGGCCGCGTATTTCCACTGGCTTCCTGCGTTACTCGCGTCTGTCCGCGGAAACACGCCTTTCACAACGACGGAAGACGCAAAGAAAATGAAAGCCCATACATCTGTCCTAAATGAATCCTTACTAACTTTTTTCACTTTGCGCCTGTTTACTTACATTTTTAGTTTAGCCTCATTAACACCGAGAGTCTCATCCATTAATCGAATCAAACTATTGATTAAGTTAAATATTCAGTTTTACTTTCTCTCCCAATTTAAACTTAAAAAACTACTTTACTGACAAACCTCTTGTCTTCCAAACTGCACTTGGCAGTCATTAATTCTGTAACTGTAATTAGAAGAAAAAACTTGTGGATTAAACCAACAACGAAGATATTACATTGCATTGGGGAGAGGTTTTCTGGTTTCTTTTTGGCATATATTAAGGATATCATATCTATGAAAAGGCTCATGGAGTCTTGAAACACGTGTAGCGAATAATACATGTACTTATTTGCACGTGGTGTTTAATAGGTGTATCTTAGATAGTTTCTCGTAGGAGGTGGCTTGCACTGGGTGTACTTTAAAAAAGCGTATTTTGCGATCGCAATGTTCTCTTTATACATCATAGAGTACAAAACCACTTTTTGCTTTAATCATTATAATGATACGCGGTATGATATAGTCCTCTAAGACGTCGCGTTGTAGAAATAAATCTTGTCTCATGTTTTGTCGGTAAATAAAGATAATTTCACCCAAAAAATCAGTAAGCTTCGTTTCCTTCGGACCCCTTATTTTTCAGTCTTCTTTTTCTAAGCGATTTTTTCTTTGACCACACGTTATTGTTTTACTAGAGACATTTTTTGTTCATAGAGTAGTGTTTTAGTACCAGAATTTCAAATAATAAAGTTTTTCAAAGCTTTTACATACACTTTTGACCTTAATGTTTTCTTCATTAAGTTTTTTAAAAATTAAAGTCTCGTTTCAACATAAAATCTGTTAATTTCGAATGTTTTTTATTAAATTGAAAAGAAATGCAGGAATGAAAATTTCCGTCGATGCTTTGTTAGATGATAAATTTGATGCTTTTTTTCTGATTGTTATAAAAAAACCGTTCGTTTTGTGTGACTCATGTTTTTCAGAACGATGGGTACTGCGGACAACATGGGTTCGCGCGGTGTAGCGTACGGCGCGAATAAGCCGCTTGTCTCATATCCTGGTGTGGATTACAAATCGTATTGAGCGCTAAAGAACGTTGATGAATAAATAAAATCACTACGTCTCGGCAAAGCGCAAACACATGCACACGTGAAAGAGTAAGAGAGCGAAAGTCAATCGTGTGAGCTGAACATATAATTACTTACTTATATTATGAAAAACATCAGTACCTTAAGAATTTGTCAGAACATTTTTTTTCCAAATTTTTTCTAACACTTTTTTTTTTTTTTTTTTTTTTTTATCATTAACAATGTGGCCATTATTCATTTATTTATTTTTTATACATAAGTATATTTTGGTCATTATTTAGGTATCTTCGCTTGTAACTTTTTCTATATCTGTAAGAAAATTTTGTAGTTGACTTATCTACTCTGACAAGTACATTATTTTGTAAATATACATTGAGTTCTAAATATGTAATTTTGTAGAACAGGCAGGTGAAACTGTAAGATGATGTATTTTCTTGTAATTTTTTTTATAAATTAATTTAATTAAACTTCATTAAAGATTTCCATGAATGATGTATTTGTTGATANAGTTCTTCCATTTATGATTGGGATGATTTTTTGATTTAAGGGTGTTTATTGCATAGTTAGCAGCGGAACAGTTCAGAGACGTGAGAGAAGCGAAAGGATTATCTAAAATCAATCTTTGATGCAAAAAAAAAAATTGGGAGAAATCTGAAAATCATATAAATGTAATGTTTACATGATTTTTTCATAATGCTACTGCATGGGAAATTGAGATTTTTTAAGAGAAAACGTACATAAAAAAAGTATACAGTTGTACGAGCTGCAAATTTTGTGGGTATTTTTTAAGCTATTTAGAGTACATGTTACATGTTTAAATAATACTTCTAAAGAAATCTATGTGTGATGAACGTTTTCAAGGAACATTCACTGGCATGTAATACTACACTAACAAAGAAAGTGGTACTCGATCAAACTGCATAGTCCTATACAGGCCAGCTTACACATTGTTTCTGTTGTGCCGTAGTTATTGTTCATAATTCTTCATTTATTAAATACAAAAATTTAGGATCACCCAATAGCGTTGGACGCGCCGTAATCGAACCGAAAAACATATATAAATACATAATGTTCGCAAAACTCGTGACACGTCTTTCAGCGACTAATGCAATTTATCACGTGCGTGGATCGCCGAATGTCAAATAATAGACGAAATGATCTGTATTCAAGACGTGTGTCTCGTCGCATGTTGCGTCACGCACGTCGATTGTGTGCGTAATAAGTACTCACGTAGAAAAGAAAAATTGTACAAAAAAAAAAAAAAATTATAATGACACACATCTCGCCGTCGCTGAACTTGGTTCTTGTCGTCGTCGGCTCAAGTATACGCACCTCCGCAAGTTGAATGAAAAGAGGGCCGGCCGACCCTCTCGAAGACGAGACTAATATACATACGTCGTGCGAGCTCTCTATGGCCGGAGCTAGCCTTTGTCTAATCGTTGTCGCTTATATGGTTTGTTGCTGGACGGTTTCGACCATTTCCCGATGACGGCCACTTGGCGGAATGTCGCGAAGAAAGATAATCACTATTACAGATGCAAATACATATATATATATTAATATATTATTACTTGTATTTTAATATTACATTTTATTGCATGCGCACCATTGGTGTACAAGTATCGTGTATTTGTTGATTTTTTTTTTTTCTCCCAACCTGAACGTGAATTAACAATTATTTTCATCAAAAAACCCTGGGACCCTGTAATGATTGTCCAGGCTGGAAGTTTAAAGTTATGTTTTATTAACACAGAAAAATTTTGATTAAGTGATACTTGTATCTCAATGCACAATCAATTAGCAGCGTCTAACTTGCGCGTGAATCTTACTCAATTAACAGTCTAATGACACCTTCATTTTGAAAAACGGATTGCAACATGTAATTAAAACAATATGTGTATGTGTGTCTGTGATTGTATAGGAACAATCAGAATAATCTACAGAACTGGAACAAGCAGTACAACTGGAGCAACCACAAGACTGGCTGATGTTCTTCCTCTTCCCCCCTCAGATAATGATGTACATTGATTTGCAATGATGGAAGACAATTTTTGACGTTATAGCTTTTTACTGCAGAGGAAGTGTTCAAGTCATGATGGTTGGTTTGCACAGGTCCATCTTTTAAGAAGCAAGCAATATTTTCTGAAACTAAAATTTGTGAACAGGCAGATTGTAATGGATGTTAACGCACGCCGTTGTCTCTTTTCAAAGGCAAGTCAATAGCAAAGAAAGGGTTTTTTTTTTTTCTTATTGGGTTAAAAATGACATCACATTGTACATTGATCCTAATTTTTTTATACTTTCCACGAGTCTTGATAACATTTTGAGACCTAGTATGTACTTGGGTTTGTAAGTTATTGTTATTCAATTTATTTTATATTGAAACGTTATCGTTTATTTTTTACAAGTTTTGATATCGAGTAAGTTTACTTTAACATGATGTGAGATTGAATATTTTATTCACATATCTGACTAAAGGGATCGCGTTTAAAAAGTGTTATTTTTATATTATTGAAATAGAAACGAATTTTATTAATGAAAAAAGAAGCATCCATTAACATCTAATTTTAATAAATAACTGTTATTACCCGTTATAGGCCTTTTGGCAGTGTAGAGCACGCATCAGCTCAACGATGTTCTACACTATTCAGCATCAGAGTGAGTAGCAAAAAAAAAAAAAAAAAAAAAAAAAATTTTAATGCAAAAAGAAAAATTGGTTATTTTAAATAAAGAATATGATTTTTTAATACATTGAACTTTAATTTATTAACCCATAGAAAAATCCCATCCTCTTAAATTATGAACATTTGTTCCTATTTTTTTGTAACTACTTATAGAACAAGTTCTAATCGATCGCTTAAAGACTTGTTTTACAATAACATTTATGATAATTAAATTAAAAAAGTTACTTTTCAAATAATCGTATGAAAAAAAAAAAAAAAAAAATAAATAAAAGATGATATAAAACAATGTCTACAATTGTATGGCAACTAAATATAATATTCGATTTCATAGTAGGTATGAGTATCTTCATCAGACGGGAGATGCATAAATGTGCACAATAGCGGAGGAGGAGGAGGAAATCAAACTTGTTTCTCAATGAGGAATAAAGAACCTGATATTCTCTTAGGAGAGCAGCAAATCTCGAAACTCTGCATGCGTGGAGGCTCTTATCAAATTTTCTTCTTGGGGGGGAAGTGAAGTATACTATACTTACACTCTTGGTATTCTCGTGCGGCTCAGTTAGCGCGTGGTTGCAAAAAGAAATAGTTACTGAATAAGTAATAATCACACCACCAACTTGTTTTTCCGCAAAAAAAAGGACAAAACAGTACTGTATCGAGATATGGCCAAGGAGCTAAGGTACGATATTTTTGTGTTTGTTTTTTTTTCGGCGTACTTTACACGTGCGTTCTATTCGGAGCAGAAGCTTGTAGGTGTCACGTTTCGGAGCAGCCACGATTAGGTTAGGTTCGCGTTTGCCTCAATTTCCGAATGGCTCGTTATTGCCAAATTTCAAGTTTATTCATTGAATGTTTTGTCAAATGTTGTAAAACGTACAGTTTATCGACATCAGAAATTATGTAACATTCTGAAATTGAAAAATAGGTCTTTTGTTTTACGTTGTACCACGATCTTCGAGGTTTGTGTACTTTTCGATTGATCTTGTGTTTGATGAAAACATCAGCAATCATTACAGAATAAAGTAACATTTTTGTTTAATTACTGGTGGTTTTGTGCAACCGCAAAATTGATGTATAGCTCCAATATTAATTACGATCGTATTGCGTTAGAGTTACAACAGAATCTGTTATGCAACTTTTAATGTACCCAATTGTCCAGAGATAAGGATATATTTTTTCGTGTTAAAATTTTTTTCTACCTGATAACAAAATTCAAGGCATTTGGTTATGAAATATTTTATTAAATTTTTCTTTTTGTTTACTTTTTTATTCATGTACGACCGATGTACGCCAAACACAAGTATATCAACGTTTTTACTTTGTAGAATATTTATGTCTCTAGCTTCGTGTTATTTTTAAACTAGAAAATCATCAAAGCAGCTTAGCTGCTTCTGCTCCGAATATGTGTTTCATTCAAAAAATTGTTTTGGATGAAATATTAAAATAAATTCCAGAGAAGGGCTTGTGCTAGGAATCGGTAATCCGCTCCTCGATATCTCCGCGGTGGTGGACGAAGATTTTCTCAAAAAATATGACCTCAAAGCCAACGATGCCATCCTCGCCAGTGATAAGCACAAATCCCTCTATGACGAGCTCATTGAGAAGTACAATGCCGAGTTCATTGCGGGGGGAGCTGTACAGAATACCATGCGTGTTTCACAAGTAAAATGCGTTCTTTTTGTTTGTATATCCTCTTATAGATCCCTATATACTAGCAATTTGTTATATCTTTAAGTAAAAGCTATAGATGCAAATCGAGATGTAAACAAGAAATAAATTGCATGCACTGAGTTTGAGCAAATATAGATGCTACATTTTTTTTTTTTTTTTTTCATAGTAAATAAATAAACCTGGAATGATAAAAATGTAAGAAATTTTATCTCGCAGTGGTTTTTGGAGAAATCTAAGGTAGCTGTTTATATGGGTTGTGTTGGCAAAGACAAGTACTCCAAAATATTGGAGGAGAAAGCAAAGGAAAATGACCTAAACGTCAGGTATCAGTATACTGATAAGGAACCAACAGGAACTTGTGCTGTTCTTATCACAAACGGTGGAAAATGCCGATCGCTTTGTGCAAACCTGGCAGCAGCAAACTGCTTTTCTCTATCTCATATAGAAGAGGCGGAAAATAAGAAATACATTGAAAATGCACATTTTTACTATGTATCTGTAAGTGTGAATTTTTTTTATTGAAATTTCATTTTAGTTGAGTAAGAATTTTCAAAATTTGGATTCATAATCCTATACTCCAGGGATTTTTCTTGACAGTAAGTCCGGAAACGATTCAAGCTGTAGCTCAGCATGCATTTGAAAACAACAAAGTTTTTCTCATGAATTTAAGTGCTCCATTCTTGTGTGAATTTTACAAGAAGCCTATGAGTGCTGCTCTGCCTTATGTTGATGTTTTGTTTGGCAATGAGACCGAGGCTGAGGCTTTCTCCAAAGCTTTCAATCTGGAAAGTACAGATATAAAAGAAATTGCTCTAAAAATTGCAAGCATGGAGAAAATTAATAATAATAAAAAAAGAATCGTCATTATAACGCAAGGCTCTAGTCCTGTTTTGTTAGCCAAAGATGGCAATATAACACAGTACCCTGTTACTAAACTGCCAGAAGAAAAAGTCATTGATACAAATGGTGCTGGTGATGCATTTGTTGGAGGTTTGTTTATTGAATTTTTGAAAATAGATTTCGGCATATTGTTTATTAGATAGATTACACATTTTAATCATTCACAGGTTTCTTATCTCAGTATATTCAAGACCAAGACTTGGACGTTTGCATCAAATGTGGAATTTGGGCTGCTTCACAGATCATACAGAGATCTGGATGTACTTATGAAGGAAAGCCGGACTTTCCTGCATTATGACAAGGCCTTTTGTTGTAAATACTAGATGAAAAACTGTACTTAAAGATATTATGACATCTTTTGGGTTGTGGTTGTTTTAAGCAAAACAGCAGTGTTAATAGCAATCATGTAAAATATTGTCAAACAATAAGCATTCACGAAAAAGCACTTTGGTGCTCTTATAAATATTAATAACTTTATAGTTTGCATACAAATCGCACAAAATTACATAATACTTTGCTTTATGCTGAAAAAAAAAATTGAAAGTAAAATAAAAATTTTCTGTACAACAATTTTATTTCATTTTGCATAACTGAAAAATTTAATAAAATAAAATTTTTATGATTAAAAAATTTTTTTTATAAA